AGTATGATTTCAAGCACTGGAAACACGACCCCAATGGCAAGGACTTGAGTATGATTTTCAGTGCTCACTGCAATACTCAAGTCCTGAGTTCTGTAATACGACCCTAAGTCTTTGCGATAAACATCTAACAAATGCTGAAAGAACAACGATTTCGTTATAGTTCGCTTTCCGGTCTAATGAAAATTCCAACAAGCGTTATTTCGGAAAAAAATTCGAGTTTGTGATAGGTTACCTGTTATTAAAGGTGCGACTATCAGTTTTGCACTCTAAAGTAGCAAAATGAGGCAAAATGAGTCTCCTCATGTTCCATGTTTATCGAGGTTTAGCGCGAGATAATTGACACGACCATAACGTATAAAACAAAAATGGCGGACTGGGCTCAAGTATACGACACTCCGCATGCCGTTGGCATACGTGTCACGTCTACTAAGCACTTCCACTGCATTGTTGTCTTTGAATCACTACTGGTTACTTCCTTCCGACAGAGGTCACACTTGCCTATCATACAAACTCATATTATCAATACAAAAGTAGCTGTGTCTCTTATGTTTTCACCAGGGTTGGAAAAATTACGATTATTAAAAAAAAATCGAATAAAATAATCACCTAATTTTTTTTTTTTAATTTTATCATACAGCTTGACATATTTTTGCGTAAAACGTTAATTAACCGCGGCAAGCTAGTTGTTTTGTTTAAGTATTAAAATAATGATATTGATTTCTCAGATGTAGAATACCCTAGTGTTTAAAATAATAATTGTCTGATTTTATATTGATTTCTGTGAAAGAAAATAAAATTAAATACATTTGATTAAATCACTGAGTATTATTGAGAAATCACGATTTAAATCAAAATTATTTAATTGTGCCAACCTTGGCTTTCACACCTAAACCGCTGAACCAATTTCCATGAATTTTGGTATAAAGATAGATGAGACCTAGAAGAAGGACATAGGCTACTGTTTGTCACAAAAATATATCTTAAAGGCCATGAAATAGGGGATGAAAGTTTGTGTAGAAAACCAATAATTTCTCAAGTAAGTAAGTAAGCTACTCGAAGTTACATATTCTACGCAGACGACGCGAGCACCGTATAAATCAAATCATGACTTGGTAACGTACAGCTTCACTCATTAATTCATACTTTAAAAAGGATTTTTAAATAGACATTTATTTAATTAAATCTACATTTGTTTAGAAAATTTCAAACACACTTATTTATTACCTAAAGTACATAATGTTATATACATTACATTATATAAGAACACAGTTTTATTTGTATATATTTTTTTTCATTTGGCATTAAAGATTGGCACGATTATGCAGCTTATAGCTTTCTTGCGGCACAGTGGCGCCACGTAGTGATCGTAATCTGGACTTGTGAAAAGTTAAGCATTTGACTTCTATTACACTTGCTGGAAAGTGACGATGAGGTCGACGATGGAGCATGCGCACCTAAACAATGTCTTTCCACTCTTGCCTTGAAAAATCTCAAGTTAGTGTACAAGTCTGCAAGCGGGGAATTCCACTCCATAGCCGTCCGCGAGATAAATGTGGAAGCGAAACGCTTTGTGCGACTCCTTGGAATATCCACAACGCAGGGGTGGAACCCCAGACTACGTCTAGTCCTTAGTTACGATGGTGGAAAGGATGAATCCTCTCCGGGATATAATCCTATAGAATAGTCCCTTTAAACACCATTGCGAAAGTTAACTTTTTTTGATTAGTGACATTATTAAGCCGGGTTTACATTTGTCTGACGTGTCGTGTCGTGATGCGTCAGAACGGCATCGGTTTCACTTAGAATGTTAGATTTATATTAGTGTGTCGCAATCCGACGTGACCGCTTCTGCTGTGTATGAAACCGACACCGTTCTGACGCATCACAACACGTCACGTTATATAAATCCGGCTTCAATTCAGCGTACGATATAAAGACTTTTTAAAGACTTTTATTAATTTTAGGCGTTTTCTTATGTATTATTTCTGAATAGCAAATATGATATAAAAAGAAAATAACATATTTGAAATAGTCATTTTTAGATTAAATGAGAATTTTCAAGCTACAATCTGAACGTGCTTCTTAGGTTGTTCTCTTTGCTCTTTTAATACGTACGACGTCGTTCTTCTCAAAGTGCCCACAGAATCTGAAAGAAATATATATATATAGGCGTATTAACAAAAATGGCTGTGAATGACCAATGGCACCCACATGGTAGAGGTTATTTTTTACAATATCAAGGGACGGGACGAACAAAGGGAACATGGGGTATTAGGAGCCCGCGGGTAATGAGAGCGGTGTTAAACTAGACTTTCCCAATGCTCGTATTTGTGCAAACGGCACTCCTATGTCTCCGTTAACGTTCGACAAGGTTCGAGTCCCGTGGGCGCCCCCGTAGAACCCCGCGTTTAGTCGTATGAGATGGTTGTGTTTTTCGCTCCGCGCTTATAAGCTTTGCTAAATTTCATCATCCCAGGTAAGCATCCAAATGCATAGATACGACATTGTATATACACTCCCGGACTCATAATTCGAGCCACCTCGCATCAGTATTAAATGCCTTAAGTTTAAACACTGTTCGATTGATCAAGATAGTTGATCAATCGATCAGTGTTCTTTAGATTCTAGTTTCAAAATTGCGTAGGATAGTTCCTGCGCAATTTTGAAACTAGAATATTAAAAGTCTTTTCCATAAGTCCTTTTAGAAAATTCCGACTTTCAAAACCGGGGGAAACCTTTTCTTCGTTGATACTATGATATTGTGGCTCGAATTATGTGTCCGGGAGTATAAATACACTAGCTATGTCTTCATATCTATCAAATTTTATAAGTTATGCTTGAAATCATAATAAAAATAGAAATGTTTTTACTGTTTTATTCCTTTTTCAATTCGATGTTACGCGGGTAATGAGAGCTATTTGGCTCTCCTTATCCCATTGCAATATTCACTGGATATTGCTTTAACGCTTTCTTGTTTATTTTCATTACTTTTTAACTTATATATTTTATTATTTTAATTTCTTTTTTCAGACCATTGACTTACACATAAATGGACGACGGGTCTAATACAGAAACCACGAAAAAATGTCCCAAGTCAACCTATTTAAACGTAGTGACATGTAAAGGAATATGAAAAAGCTAAAACGTTGAATTTAAATTGTAATGTCATCGCAGTACCGTCTAATTTTGCTGGCTTCGCTGTCAGTCGAACAAACGAAGACTAAAGCGTGAATGACGCTCTGTATACGATTTTAACGCCTTATAAGTTCAGACACATTTTAGCGCGGACCCGACGTCCATATAATTGTAAGTCAATGTTTCAGACTGATTATTTATAATGGCTCCCATTTGACATACGGGATGAGAGCGCATGACATGTTTTAGTCTTTTCTTTTACTTTCATATTTTTTCTGTGATTACTAGGTAATCAGATTTGTGAAGCGTACGTTCATAACTAATAAAAATTTTAATTGCACAAATTATGACTTTTATTGTCAATTTTCCTTAGTAGGCTCCTATTCCCCCACGTCCTCTATAAGGTGGCTACACGCCTGTCCATAACAGTTGCAATGCCAGCTTTAAATCACAAGGATCTTGGGGCACTGCCACTGCGTCCATTACCCTGAGACATAAATTGACAAACCCCATGTGCCTGTAATTGCGCCAACCCCTTCAAAACCGGAACAATTTAATGCTCATATTACTGCTTGGCGGCAGAAATAGGTGGCAGTATTTCCCTAGACGAACTCTTTCACAGGGCACTCTACTGCTACTAAAGAGTCCCAAAATAAGTCCATCAATATAAAAGTTACTTAAAGATCCGAGGCAAAATTAAGCTTCGGAGACCTTTTTACAACGGTTATTTCATTTGGCTCCTTGTCAAAGAGATCGTGGAGAGAAGTACTGCCACTTGACCTATTTCTGCCGCCAGGCAGTAATGTGAGCTTTACTGCGTTCCGGTTTCGAAGGGTAAGGGTGCTGGTGAAATTACATGTACATGGGACTTGTCGACTCATGTCTCAGGGTAACGGGCGCAGTGGCAGTGCCCCTCAGATCTTTGTGATATAAAGCTCTGATGGACAGATGAATCCCTTAAATGATTATCACTAATATCAGGTTTCTTACCACGGTATGACTTCTTTTTATTTTCCCGTTATTTCGGAACGGTTGCACGCTCCATGGTCACGGGTTGAATGGACGGCGACAGATGACAGCTTTAAGAGCAGACATATCGGTCTACCCTCTTGCGCTGTCGACGACTATTTTCATCGCGATTTGTTGTGGCGTTACCATTGTCACTCACTTTTTTCACACAAACCACACTCACTGTATCCACACGCGAAACTGAACTCGAGGTGTTTTTGTTTTTATTACTGCACGCACTAAGGACCGGATTCCATGCACTGGACAGTTTAAAACCATCATCACGGTTAAATGTTTTTTACTTCGTGATCTCGATGGCTTCTCGTACCAACCGTGGTATGTAGTGACGTTGTGTGGAAAGTACCTGGGGGCTATGCAACTCGATCCAGTGGTTAGTGTCAATCTGTGTGAGATGTTGTGCTATAGCCGACTTCTGTGCATCATTGTTTTTTACTGCTCGGATGTGTTCCTTCATACGATAGACAATTGTTCGTTTAGTCTGACCGATATACGAGCTCCCACAACTGCAGTTCACTTTATAGACCCTGTGATTGTAAAGGAAGGTGGTCTTTTGGTGAAGGTAACATTTTTCCTATTTTGGTTAAGGGGGTTCCGAAATATCGGGAAAATAAAAGGAAGTCATACCGTGGTAAGAAACCTGATATTAGTGGTAATCATTTAGTGAATAACCACGAAAGTCTTAAAATCTATATAGATGTATCCCTTACCATAACGCGAACGATTTGTTCGTCCCTTAGCATAATAATAAAAAGAATGAATAGATACTAACTGTGTACAGGTCGTGCTGTGGCAATGCGGGGCGAGCCTGGGGCGGAGGCCGGGCCCCGCCTCGCGGGCTACGACCAGCGAAGGTCGCGTAGTTCCACGGAGTTTGTGGCGTCTTGGATCTGCAATGAATTATACAAAATTGTAATATTAAGTTGATTGAATATCACATTTTACTGTTATGATATTCAATTATTTTTGTGAAATTACTCCACTAGTTTGTTATAAGTAATTGTTAACCGACTTAAAACTTATTTTAAATAGATGTAACGGTTCGAATCCGGCCGGATCGAAGGAATTTTTTCTGAGTGTTCGATTTGTGTATTAATAATGATAACAAACTAGTGGAGTAATTTCACATAAAAATAATTGAATATCTATTCAATACAATTTTAAATACAATGAATAGCGACATCTTTAGCCGGGGCTGGTAGCTGTAAAGGTATCTAACTGGGAGACGAAATATCATAGATTTGTCAGAGATGGCGCTACGGCTAAAAAGTCGTTGAAAAACCAAATACAAAGATACGACGCAAGCACTTAGAAAAATTCGTGAGGTCCGCTGGTTCGTTCCGCGGCTTAGTTGATATAGCGTCTGGCATGGTATGCTAGAAGACATCGGTTCGAATCCGGCCGGATAGACGGATTTTTTTCTAAGTGTTCGATCTTTGTATTAATAATTACAATAAATAGAGTAATTTCACGGACTTTTGAGGTCGGTTTTTTTAGTAGGTACTCTGTACTGAGGTTGTAGTTCTTACAAAAGTGGCTGCAGAATTGGTTATGCGTTCTTCAAATGACATTTTCGAATGACAGATCAAATCAGGCCCTGTACTCGCGTTCTCCGTCGGACATACGACTGAAACAATTACTGTCAAATAAGTAATAACAATTTAAAAGACGCATGACGCGAATGAAGCTTCATACTTGACATTGTTTTTTAATTTGGTCGAGTATTACGTCATCCACAGCCTGATTGCACCCACTTTTGGGTATAGGCCTCCCGAAGTTTGTGCCATCCACCACGGTCCCGTGCTAGCCGCATCCATTGACGCCCCGCGACGCGTACTATGCAACAGGGTGCCCGACGCTTCTTTTGCCCATCCTTGACCACCAGTCGATGTCTTGCTCCACCTGTCATCACCTTGCCTAGGTGTCCCGCCCAGCCCCATTTGAGTTCCATGATTCGAGTTCCAGCATCCTGGACTTTCGTCCATCGTCGGATCTCAACGTTCGGAACTCTGTCTACAAGGCTGATGCCAACCATGACGCGCTCCATAGCCCTCTGTGCAACTCTCAACCGGTATACAGACTCCTGCGTGGGCGTCCATGTCGCGCCACCATACGTCATGGTGGGCAGAACACACTGATTAAACAAGCGGGTCTTCAGACACTGTGGAATATTATCTGATTTAAGGATGTCACCCAACTTGTTAAACGCAGCCCATCCCAGCTGGATTCTTTTTGAGATCTCCTTAGGCTGATGCTCTTTGCCAAAGGATGTCCGAGATAGACGTATTGATCGACTCTCTCCAGCCTCTCATTTCCCACCGTAACCACGCGTGTCGGTCCAAGGCCACCTCGGACTCGACTGTGGCGCGAATTCGCCCGTACAAATCGGCACAGCACGGTTTGGCCTTTGAAATCACAGGCCACGGTAAGCTAGCATAATGTGTACGGCAAACGAATGGAACTCACAACGGCATCAGTGTTTCCCGAAAAGCACAATTTAGGTCATTCAAGGTTAAAATTAACCGTGAAAACTAAAGAAACTTAATTGATCAAAAGTCCTTCAAAGTGACCAGTTGAACTGGGACTTGATCATGTAACCATTGGATCCATCGTAATTTCCAAGTACCTCAAATCTGGAGTTGGCAGGCACTGCAGTAGGCACATGCGTGTGCGACGAACACCTTGAGCATCCCCCTCTTAACGCTGTACGGGTTGCGCTGCCTCCACGCATCGCGGTGCGGAGCTCCTGGCGAGATAATGCATTATCATCATAAACCCATCAGATCTCCTTTAAAGCTGAATTTACATCACCGCGGAACGGACGCGAATGCTTGTAACGAAATTATACATAACATAATTAATTTTATCATTGGTGTAACGTACAAATTAGATACGAGACCGGTAGCTTCGAGAATTCCCGAGACAGAACGAGGATTCTCCGGAAGACGCGAGATTTGTTTTTAACCGACTTCTAAAAAGGAGGAGGTGCTCAATTCGACTGTATATAGTTTTTTGTTTATGTTACGCATTTTCTGAATCGATTTTGATGCAATGCAAACTAGTGGATTAATCCGGTTTCGTGCACGTTCCGGCAACCGATTGCAATAAAACTTGGCAAATACATGTAACTCCATGAACTTTTTAGGTCGGCATTTTTTTTAAAATAATTATTAATACAAAGATCGAACGCTCAGAAACGATCGAACACTCTTTTTTCCGTTGGTTCGTTCCGTGGCTTAGTTGGTATAGCGTCTGGCACGGTATGCAAGAAGATGTCGGTTCGAATCCGCCCGGATCGAAGGAATTTTTTCTGAGAGTTCGATCTTTGTATTAACAATTATAACAAACTAGTGGAGTAATTTCACAAAAAAAAATTGAATATCAATTCAATAAAAATTTAATTAATTTTTTTTTTAAGTTAAAATTATTTGGCTCGTATCTAATTTGTACGAATTGACGTAAAATTGATTATGATACGGTTACAAAAGTTATGGTTTCGAGTGAGAGGTGTTGCTGCTACATTGTAAACATTTAGAAGAGGTAGAGCTCATTGTGAAAGAGCTCGTCCAGGGGAAAACTGCCACCTTACTTATTTCTGCTGCCAAGCAGTAATGTGATCATTACCGCGTTCCGGTATTGAAGGGTAAGGGTGCTGGTGAAATTACAGGCGCATGGGACTTGTCAACTTATGTCTCAGAGTGACGCGTGCACTGGCAGTGCCCCACAGATCTTTGCGATTTAAAGCTGCAATGCACTGCAACTGCTATGGAGAGATGTGTAGTTTACCACCAATAACTCACAGTTCCCATCTCACTACAAAGCGACTGTCGACCTTGCGAAGCATTCTTCTTCGTGTTCCAACAGAATTCCAAGATGGCCACGACAATGGCTAGCACCAACCCGCATAAAAGCGTTACGAAGACTCCTCCTGAAAAAAGTTGTAAATCTGTATAAATCACAAGTTCGATCGTGTATGGATCGACAACAAGCATATAGAAAAATTCTTAAGGTTCGCTGGTTCGTTCCGTGGCTTAGTTGGTAAAGCGTCTGGCACGGTATGCTAGAAGACGTCTGTTCGAATCCGGCCGG